CGGCCACCACTACAGGACACAACAACTCTTCATGTTGCATAGACGAAATCCCATTCGCAAAAATGATATGCGAATTAGATATGGCCCCATCGTCTGGCGAACAGAAAATAGTAAGAGAATTTCAGCTTGCATGTTCCTTCAATTAGATGTTCTCTTCGTGACTGACTCACTCCGCACGTTCTCTGCAGCTTAGTGATCAAGGTCTTTCATAGTTTCACTTTATACCACTGCCTGTATTTCCATGGGGATTATTCTGCGTGTATTTCAAAGAAATTGCCCATACTGTGATACACATTCTGGACATAGATGACATTCACGCGTTCGAGAAGTCAATTACGCTTGGCAATATGTCCAAATATTGGTAGCTGGCAGCCGCAGTGCAGGCGTAGCCCATAGCTCGCTCATCACCGTACAATACAACACTGGCAGACGGGTGTTCACAATGGCAATTTCATTCTAACAGATGCAGTCTCTACTCAGACAGCAGCAGCAACAGTTTGAGCTGGCGCAGTTAAAGCTCATCAAGACACTTACTGAGAACAAGAATCCTCAGCAAAATTGAGCAGAACCCAGACGCCACATTACAGAATATTACGTCGGAATGCCAGCGCCTGATGAATCTGAAGCGTGATACCGTCATCATACAAGAAAGTGATCCCAGTAATACTGTTCATGCGATTCGGAAGCATACTGTCCCTCAGGGTGACAAGAAACCACCCTCGGCATGCTGGAAATGTGGTGAGTGGCATTTCGTCAATTTTTGTCCGTTCAGAAGACACCGCTGCAGCAGGTGCTCCCGTATGGGACACAAAGAAGATCGGTGTCATGGTGAGAGGAGGCAAGCACCCAGGAGGCATTCTCGAACTAGAACTTCCAATTCCAAGCTTCCGAAGGCTCGCGTTGGTCTGGTCGCTCATCAAAGCCCACACGCAAACAGGAGGAAATACGTATCACTGCGCATTAACGGCAAACCTGTTCGTCTCCAGCTGGACACGGCATCAGACATTACGATCATCTCAAAAAGAACTTGGAACTTTCTTGGCAGTCCAGCATTAACCAGGGCCAAACAAGTTGCACGCACTGCATCCGGAAGTTTGCTCAAACACTCTGGTGAGTTCAAATGTTCCATGACGCTTGATGGTATCAATGTAAGTGGCACTTGTCATGTGTCCGATCGTCCTGGATTGGGTTTGTTAGGATTAGATTGGATCGACAAGCTGAACCTTTCAGACAGTCCACTGAATACTATTTGTTACCAGACACAGGCAACGAAATCGAACGTATCCAAAAAGCTACCTGACTCGTTTCGGGAGAGGAACTCAGACGGTTGCAGCCCGTGCACTAAGTCCTTGTTGAACCACTCTTGATCAAATGGCCAACCCTTCCAGAGAAATATATCAGTGAGACATGGAAAGCATGTCAAAACAGCATGTATGTTAATCGGATGTTCCGGGTACCTTGGGAAGACTTTTTCAAGGATTTGTTACAATCGATCGAATACCGCCCAACTTCAGTGCTATCTGGGTCCGCCCTAATGTCCTCCGGTTGAGGTTGTAGGATGATCGCGTATGAAATTTGCTCAGAGCCACTGTAGGTTGATGGGGAATTCAGTAGCATATCAGGCGAGGCATATCAACCCGCTCTGATCGCCACGAGGAAGAAATCTGTTCGAACACACAGTCGCCAGTTAGTTCGTGAGACTAAGGGAGTAATCAGTTCCATATTTTGGGTGGGCATCTGAGCATGCTGTTGCATGGTTAGTGATAATGTCCTGTTTGTAGTGGAACCATCTACCGTCACTTCCGTGGTGGAGTCCAATCATAGTAGTCTTTCTGCCTCAAAGTAGAATGGAAAAGAAAACGTACGTTGAAGTTGCTGTGATGTGCAGCTTGCTGGTATGCGGGTACAACATGGTACAGTAATCAAAACACTCAGCTGAATTAGATGAAATTCGAGGTTTGGAGCCGTGAACGGAAGTGACGGTGTCTCATCGATAAGAGGACACTAGTCTAGAAACCTAAAAATATTGCTGGCACGGACACCGATATGTTGTGTCCGAGAGTTTTCTGTCGTCAGACCTCAACCAACAGTCTGTTTCAGATTTCTGACACAAACCTTGGCCTTTTTTTTTACTAAAAGAGTACCTGAAAGCGGTAATGACCACTCGATGAAGGTGAAGTTGATTCTGTTGGCTGATGGTTTACTGGTCAGGAATAAATCCATCTTTCATAGGTCGCATGATTTATGAGTGAGTCCCTTAGTGTTCGAGGAAGTTGGTGGGCTAAACAGACACGAGTTGTGTGGGTTGGGGTTAACGCACCAAAATGAAGTAAGGTAGCAAAGACTTACTTTTCCTAAGCTGTTTTCGCTGATCGCTGTGCATCAAAAGGCACAGGAGATTACAAGATACCACCTTTAGTAAAATTGAGAAGACGGTCCTTCTGACAGATTCACTAGCTGAGGGGTTGCGATACCGCAGATTTGTGATCTAATCATAGAATCGTTTTCCACTTCGGCCATCAACATACCCCTTTCATTTTGAACATAACCCAAACGGCAAGGCCACATCCAAGGTTGGACTCAATACATGAGCTGCTTTTCCGTCTTGTTTATTGTGTTCTA